TCATTTCTTATTGTTGTGCCCCCCTCCTGTCTGTGTCTGTGTCTGTGTCTATATCCTCATTTTTACATTTGCTTTTTATTGTCATCCAACATTTTGTACGGTATAGCATATGCCATGCAGCCGTCTTATGGAGATTTTCCAGGGAATACCTCAAACACCATGCGAAGGACCAATAGAAGTTGTGGAACACGAGACTCCCGGTTTGAAAACTAAGACAAAAAAGACACCTTTTTCACACTTAAGCTTGAAAATAGTCTATTAGGGGCCAAAATGGTGTAACAGTCACGAGAAGGCCCAGGGAATACCTCAAACACCTTGGGAAGGACCAATGTAAGTTGTGGAAACTTATGGAACTGGCACGAGATTCCGGTTTGAAAACTAAGTCAAAAAATATAATTTTTTCACACTTAAGGTTGAAAATAAGCCATTGGAGGCTAAAATCGTGTAACAGTCATGAGAAGGGCCGGGGAACACCTCAAAGGAACTAGCATGGGACTCCCGATTTGAAAAATAAGTCCAAAAAGGTAATTTTCTCAAACTTAATTGTGAAAATAGGCTATCGCGGGCCAAAATCGTGTAACAGTCACGACAAGGCCCAAGGAACACATCAAACAGCTCGGGAGGCACCAATGTAAGTTGTGGAAACTTATGGAACTAGCACGAGACTTCCGGTTTGAAAACTAAGTCGAGAAAGACACTTTTTTCATACTTAAGCTTGAAAATAGGCCATCGGGTGCCAAAATCGTGTAACAATCACGAGAAGGCCCAATGAACGCCTTGAACACCTTGGGAGGGACCAATGTAAGTTGTGAAAACTTACAGAACTAGCACGGGACTTCCGGTTTGAAAACAATGAAGCAATCACGAGAATGTCCGAGGAATACCTCAAACACCTTAGGAGAGACCATTGTAAGTTGTGGAAACTTACGGAACTTCAACGGGACTCCCGACTTGAAAACGAAGCCAAAAAATTCACTTTTTTTCACACTTAATCCTGAAAATAGGCCATCGAGGGCCAAAATTGTGTAACAATCACGAGAAGGCCCGGGAAACACCTCACGCCTCGAGAGCGACCAATGTAAGTTGTGGGAACTCACCGAACTAGCATGGCGCTCCCGGTTTGAAAACTATGTCGGAAAAGTCACTTTTTTCATACTTAAGCTTAAAAATAGGACATCGGAAGCCAAAATCGTGTAACAGTCACGGGAAGGCCCAGGAAACGCATCAAACACCTCGGGAAGGACCAATAGAAGTTGTGGAAGCTTACGGAACTAGCATGGGACTTCCGGTTTGAAATCTAAGTTAAGGAAATGCATTTTTTTTCACACTTAGGCTTGAAAATAGACCATCAGTGGCCAAATTCATGTAACAGTCACGAGAAGGCCGAAGCAACACCTCAAACACCTCGGGGGAGACTAATGTTGGTTGTGAAAATATACGGAACTTGTGCAGGGCTCCTCGTTTCAAAACTAAGTAAAAAATTGCACTTTTTTCACACTTAATCTTGAAAATAGGCCATCAGGGGGCCAAAATTGTGTAACAGTCACGAGAACCCTAGCGAAACCCCTCAAACACCTCAAGAGGGACGAATATAAGTGGAAGAAATTTACAGAACTAGCACGGGAGTCCCGGTTTGAAAACTAAGTGGAAAAAGACACTTTTTTCAAACTTAAGTTCGAAAATAGGCCATCAGGGGGCCAAAATCGCGTAACGGTCACGAGAAGTCGTGGGGAACACGTCAAACACCTCGGTAGGGACCAATGTAAGTTGTGCAAACTTACGGAACTGGCACAGGACTCCCGGTTTGAAAACTAAGTCAAAAAATGCACTTTTTTCACACTTAAGGTTAAAAATAAGCCATCGGGGGCCAAAATCGTGTAGCATTCAGTAGAACACCCGGGGAACACCTTGGGAGGGATCAATGTATGTTATTGAAACTTACAGAACTAGCACGGGACTGCCGGTTTGAAAACTAAGCCGAAAAAGGCACGTTTCTCACACTTAAGCTTCAAAATATGCCATCAGGGGGTTAAAATCGTGTCATAGTCACGAGAAGGCCCATGGAACACATCAAACAACTTGGGAGGGACCAATGTAAGTTGTGGAAACTTACGAAACTAGCACGGGACTTCCGATTTGAAAACTAATTTGAAAAAGACATTTTTCTCACACTTAAGCTACAAAATAGGCCATCGGGGACCAAAATCGTGTAACAGTCACGAGTAGGCCCGTGGAACACCTCAAACACCTCGGGAGGGACCGATGTAAGTTGAGAAAACTTACGGAACTAGTACGGGACTCCTGGTTTGAAAACTATATCAAAAAATGCACTTTTTTCACATTTAAGCTTGTAAATAGGCCATCGGGGGCCAAAATCGGGTAACTATCACGAGAAGGCCCGGGGAACACCGCAAACACCTCGGGATGGACTAATGCAAGTTGTGAAAGCTTACGGAACTTGCACGGGGACTCCTGGTTTGAAAATTAAGTCAAAAAATGCACTGTTTCCCACTTAATCATGAAAATAGGCCATTGGGCGCCAAAGTTGTGTAACAATCACGAGAAAGCCCAGAGAATCCAGGGGGACCAATGTAAGTTGTGGAAACTTACAGAACTAGCACAGGACTACCGGTTTGAAAACTAAGTCGAAAAAGACACTTTTTTCACACTTAAGCTTGAAAATAGGCCATCGGGGGCCAAAATCGTATAACAGGCACGAGACTTTTCGGGGAACACCTCAAACACCTCGGGAGGGACCAATATAAGTTTTGGAAACTTACGGAATTACCCCGGAACTTCCGGTTTGAAAACTAAGTCCAAAAAGCCACTTTTCTTGCTTTTAAGCTTGAAAATTGGCCATCAGGGGCCAACATCATGTAACAGTCATGAGAAGGCACAGGAAACACATCAAACACCTCGGAAGGGACTAATGTAAGTTGTGGAAACTTACGAAACAAGCACGGGACTCCCGGTTTCAATACTAAGTCAAAAGATGCATTTTTTTCACACTTAAGCTTGAGAATAGGCCATCGGGAGCCAAAATCGTGTAACAGTCTCGAGTAGGTGTGGGGAACACCTCAAATACCTCAAGAGGGACCAATGTAAGTTGTGGAAACTTACAGAACTAGCACAGGACTCCCGGTTTGAAAACTAAGACAAAAAAGAGACATTTTTCACACTTAAGCTTGAAAATAGTCCATTAGGGGCGAAAATCGTGTAACAGTCACGAGAAGGCCTAGGGAATACCTCAAACACCCTGGAAAGGATCAATGTAAGTTGTGGAAACTTATGGAACTGGCACGAGATTCCGGTTTGAAAACTAAGTCAAAAAATGCAATTTTTTCACACTTAAGGTTGAAAATAGGCCATCGGAGGCTAAAATCGTGTAACAGTCATGAGAAGGGCCGGGGAACACCTCAAAGGAACTAGCACGGGACTCCCGATTTGAAAATAAGTCCAAAAAGGCAATTTTCTCAAACTTAATTGTGAAAATAGGCCATCGCGGGCCAAAATCGTGTAACAGTCACGACAAGGCCCAAGGAACACATCAAAGAACTCGGGAGGCACCAATGTAAGTTGTGGAAACTTATGGAACTAGCACGAGACTTCCGGTTTGAAAACTAAGTCGAGAAAGACACTTTTTTCATACTTAAGCTTGAAAATAGGCCATCGGCAACAACAGTGGTTGAAGACAATGGCCCACCTCTCTTCATCTCACTTGCCACATGCAACCCCTCTTCCAGACTACACCAACTCCTTTTTTTTTCTTTCTTTAACCAATGGCATCTCCTTCATTGTTCCTCCCTCCTCCCATCTCTGCACCACCACCTTATTTCCCCCACCACTCACCACCTCCCCTTTCGATTCCCACCAAGCCGAAACCCCTTCCCCACAGCCTCCCTCCCACTGATCAAACACCCCAATACACTAAAAGCCCTATATTAATTCAACATATGTCCACTAAAATCTCCCCACCTAATCAACGTATCACCATCAAAACCCTCAATTCTTTTGCTGTGAAACTTTTTTATCTAATCATAGTGGCTTGGCTAATAAGGGTTCTCTAGTTGGTATTAGCCATGAGAGTTTCTGGTTATGGCTTGGCATTTCTGGCCATGTAGAGTTGCTGGTTGTGTATATATATACAATGTATGTATATATAATAAGGCTTTTTTAGTCATAAATTTTTAATTACAGTATGATACATTTATGCCAAATGACTACCGGTGTGATGACAGAAGAGGTTTAGAGTTACAAAACAAAACTATAAGCGGGTTGAGTGTTGAATTTTAAACATTGATTTTTAACTTGACAATGGGTCATTGTTGAGGGGGCTTTACTGTAATTTACCCTAAAAATATATATGTTGTTAGAATAGGGAATTGGTAGAATAGGAAATAATGAATTGTATTCTTATTTATTCCTTTTTTAGTTGCTCGAATTATGCCTATAATTGATCAGAATTATCAATATAAATGGGAATGAAATCTAACTCATTCCCTAACTGTTTCTTTTCTCTAAACCTACATCTGTGTATATATATATGTAGGTATGTATGTATATATATTAATATAATTTACCCTAAAACATTGATTTTGGTTCTTTGTGTGGTGTAGCTAAAATTAAATACAACAATAGGTTGAGTATAGGAAGATTCATAATTCTCAACCAAACTTGCTAGCATGTCCACCAACAAAGCACACCTACAGTAGGCAAACATTTTTTCTTTAATTTGTTAAAGTTATATATTCCTTTATTTTTATTTTTCCTTCATGTCTTGTGAGGGCCTGAACCTTGCACCTTATCTTTTTGGGTATTAAGAGATAGCACTGAGCTAATAGCTGATATTTTGTTTATTTTATTTTTAAAATTCTAAATAATGAATTAGAAACAAAAGGTTGGTTTCTATTTAATGAGGTTTCTGTAAACTAGATTTTAAAAATAAAGAACCAAGAAGAGGGTGGGTAAACAGGAACACATGGTCCCTGCCCGGCCCCACTCTTTGCCCTTCCAGTATTCAACATGATGTGAAAGCAATAATCAATAATTTGTGGTTGAATTTGAAGTTTATTAATTACATTTTTTTTACAGGTTACGCGGTCTATTGGTGACGATGATCTGAAGCCTGCTGTGACTGCAGAACCTGAGATAATTGAGACCATACTGTTTGTAGATGATGAATACTTGGTAAGGTCCTTTGATCTGATAATCTTCTGTTACGCGGTCTATTGGTGACGATATTTCAAGTATGAGTTTATAAATTATTTTTGTATTAAAAAAATGTAGATTATAAATAGAATATCTAGTTTATTGGGGGAAAAAATAAAAAAAATTGTCATATTTACTAGAAATTTATAAATATCTAAGAACACCTAGAATTTTGTTTTTATTATTTATAATTAAAATATAATTTCTCTAGAGAATGAGAGGGTTTGGGACAAAAATAGGTATGGATCTAAAATGAGAGGGAGTGTGGCGTAAGTTTTTAAATATTTTTTTTTTATTTTTTAAATTCAAATAATTTTCATATACTTAGAAGGAAAATATTTTTTAATTCTCTAAAACAATCACTAAATTCAAAATATATAAAATTTAATATTTTACGACATGAAATGCATGTTGTCTTAAGTGCAAATATTTTATAACATATTTTTGTATGCCGTGAAAATATACATTTTTTACAGCATACTTTTGCATGTCATAAAAAAATCGGATTGAATTTTTTTTTATTTTCTTAAAGAAGTTTTCACGACATTCATTAGCATGTCATGTAAAGTTATAATATATTACAACATGAAATACATGTCGTCTTAAGTGCAAATATTTTACGACATATTTTTGTAAGTTGTGAAAACATATATTTTTTATGGCATACTTTTGCATGCCATAAATATGTGAATTAACGACTTACTATAAACTCTTTCTCCAAACATTTTCGCTAATTTATAATAACATAAAATATATTATATCAAATTTATCTTTTTTCTTTAATGTTTTTCAAATTATTTAACATACATTATCATTATTGTTAATTTTTTATTTACTTTACATTGAAAATAAAATCTTATGATCCTCGATTCGTTTTACGGGCAATTTTTAAGTGTGTAAGTGCATACCATATGCACTTACATATTCTAAAAAATATACATAAATTACCTCACAAAATCACGTAAGTTTTCACAAACATACTTAAGTTAATCCATAAATAATTGAGAAATCACAACTTATGTATATTTGTGAGAACCCTGTAACTATCTTGCCACATTTACATAGGAGAACAAATAACAAACAATTATTAGATAGTGATGCTATATCACTAATATCACTGTTATATTACCAAAAAAAAAATCTTAAATTTGTGAGGGAATGAAGCCATACCTTTGATTTATTTATTTATTTTTTGTTGAGAGGCAATAAATTAAAAGAAAAACAGAGTACAAGAACAAAAAAATAAAAAGGGGAATTTGGTGATAGACCCCTCACTGTCTAATTTGTCTTTTAAAAGGACAAAAATTATATAGATCCTTTCAAAATCTCCTAAGATTTTAAAACTTGTTTCTTTTACTATACTACCCTCACATATATATATATCAACTCTCCAGTAAAGCCATTGTCACAATGTATTTCAGAGTAAAATTTACTCTGAATCAAAGTAAAATTTATTATGATTCAAAGTAAAATTTTATATCGTTAAGCAAATCAACATGTTTTTAACCAAAGTAAAATTTTACTGTTACAAAAAATAAAATGCATACTAAATGAATGAACCAAGGTCAAATTTTACTTTTAGATCTATGAACAAATAAACAAAAAAAGAAAAAAAAGAAGCCAATTGATATGCATTTTTGTTCTCTCTCTATACGTTCCAACCCCAATCACACCAATGTTCTCCATCTCAAACAGATCAAAGCTTGCATAGCTCATATAATCATTCATCATGCATTGAACCCCACTGCTAGGCCTAATAGAACTCTCATGTTCCTTCACTTCGCCATCTCCACTCCTAAAATCATAGGCAAAGGTTTGAACATATTAATATATATGTATATAAGGAGAGAGAAAGTAAGACTTTTGAGTTTGAACAGAAGAGTAAGATTGAGATCTCAGGTCTAACGTGAGGTGGAGATCTCAAATCTGACGCGATCTGAGAAAGGAGGCGACAGCGGAGGGGGGAAGACGATGGAGTTGGAAAGAGAGATCGATTGAGATGAACAAGAGATGAGAGAGAGAGAGAGAGAGAGATATGAGATCTGAGCACCACAGTGGTGAGATCGTCGTGATCGAATTGAAGATCTAGTTGAGAGTATAATAGTTAGATAAAATATTTAAATAATAAATTTTGTCCTTTATACAAGACTTTATAATTATGAGGGGGTTTTAAAAGGATAATTTATTTTTTTTTAACAAGAAAATGAAGATAAGATGGGTTTGTGGCCAAATTTCCCTAAAAAAGGGGACTTCGTATAACCTGACCTCTTTAGTTTTTGCCTCATCTCCTCCGTCGCCTCTATCATGATCTCGACATGTGCTACGGCTTCAACAAGCCGGTTATATTCCCTAATCATATTGCCGAAAACTAAAAATCTATGTAGGAAACAAAGGGAATATCACAAAACTCCCTATTCCTAACATAAAAAGTCTAGATCTACATTCTAGAAGTGTAAATCTACATTTTAAAAGTGTGAAAAAGGTTGTTGGATCATCATCGAAACTTGGCCAGGAATCACCTAAAGATTGAAGCTCTCGTCCCTCTCTCTCTAGAACTCAATCTTTCATTGTTGATACGTGGTTTTTAGACTATTTTTTATTTTATAAACAAATTGACGATTAAAATCCCGATGCAACTGCCATTAAAATAGGAAGTTATGCAGGAAGCAAACTTTTTTCTACACAATTTTTGTAGGTAGTGTTTAATTCATTGGAATGAAATGATCATTCTATTAAAATGTTTATTCTCAAGTTTAATTGATTAAAAAAATAATAAAAAATACATTACAATTGTAATGATCATTCAATAGTAGAGTTTAAAGAATGATCATTATATTCCATTGAATTTCATTCTATCTCATTCCCATAAATCAAATAGAACATATCAGATGTGTCAAAATTACCTCCCATTGTGACAAAAGAGTGATTCCATAGTTGTGAGACTTGTTTAAAGAGAGAAAAGGACTAATTCCTGAACTGCGTGTGTATGTAGGGCGCATACTGGAAGGAATTGCCGTTCCACCACAGCATTGTGAGTACATATACTGTAGTGTACGCTTTACTTATCGCTAATAATTATTGTTAGCACTCTGCTAATCGTAAGTCAACTGTGTTAACTTATGTGAACGATTGGAAGCATTTGTGTACATCTGTATAACTCTGAGACTAGTCTGTTCTATTGATATTTGGGCCTAAGGCCAATCTGTAAAATCTGTTGGGCTTAAGGCCAATCTGTAAAATCTATTGGGCCGCAGGCCGTTATGAGAATATTTACCGAATATGATTTCTATACCTGTATACGTCATAATTCAAATTTGTTCATTGAATCATTTAAGTATTATTATTCACTGAGCTTCGCTCACTTCGTGTTATGTCTGTCTCTGTAGGTAATCATCCAGGAGGTCAGTCGTAACCCATCATGTCCATTTCGCTTTTGCCAACTTCAATGCGTCCAAGCACTTAGATGACGCTCCTTCATTTTTGTGGAGTTCTTGCTAAGCTTTTAACTTTGTACTCTAAGTCTTCTGTCTAATGCCATAAAATGTGTATAACCTTCTTCTACCAATGCTTTTGGCTATACGCCCAACTTTGGGGCCAGGTCTGTATATATATATATGCACATAACTGTCTCTTATATGTATGTTCATAGTATGGTTGTTTATCTGATGCAAATTTGTGATCCTGGCATATTAGTGATAGCTCAATGCCGTTTATGTTGTTAATTGTTTCCGTTCAGGCTCCATATGTTATACATAACAAATTTGATGTTCATTTCTAACGTGATCATGCCCAAACTTTTAGGGGTGGGTTTGGGGCATGACATAATTAGTTCAAATTAAAGATATAGCGAGTTAAAAACACCCTTACCTCAAATGTGGAAGCCAGGGTTGTGAATCACATTCGAAACTTTGATGATCCAACGAAATAATCACTAGAAGTGTTAATCTAGACTTCCTTTCAACTTTTCTTGGATGATTTTGAGGGGATCTTGGGTTGAAGTTAAAGAAATCTAAGGTTTGTGGGTTAGGGTTTTCAGAAAAATAGCGTTAGTGATAAAGAGTGTGAAAAGTGGAAATAAAATGAGTGAGGATTGACTTTTAAAATCTACTATCCTGACTGGCCGCTCAAGCGCAACTTCCTTCGCTCGAGCGAACAACACAAATTTGGATGGATCGCTCAAGCAACACGTCCTACGTTTGAGCAAAAAATGAAAAGTCCCTAAAGTTTTGCAGAGTTACAGTGAAATTACTAGGAGCAAACATTATACGCTCAAGCGACAACATCTTCACTCAAGAGAGCTACAGTGAAATTAATGGGAGCATGACTTCTACGCTCGAGTGACAACTCCATCGCTCGAGCGGTTCCGCCTGTAAACTGACAAACTATTAAGAGCTGAAAATCTATACTTGAGCAACAAAAGTGTTGCTCGAGCGGTTCGAAAAACCCAGGTGTCACAAACTCTGTAAAGTTATTTTCAACTTTAAGTATTTTCTGAATGATATGATATGATATGTTTTCTAAAATGCAATTTTGTGATTAAATGAATGATTGTCCTATTTGTGAAATGTATTCATGGCATCCATAGCATCTGTTACTGCTACTGTTTACTGTTGTTACAGAGATCTCTGTCAGTTCCACTTCGTGGAACTTCTGTTTACTGTATTGATGGTCATCATATATGACTGCTCCGGTCTTTTAAGACCTACTGTACTGTTCTGTTAATGGACGTCCCCTGTATGACTGCTACGATTTCAATATGATTTGACATGTTACGAGATACTTATTTGAGAAATTGATTCACAGATGAAATTGACTGTTTTAAATTACTGAAAGAACATCATTCATTGCCCCTTTACACTGTTGTTATTCACTGAGTTCTAGCTCATTGTATATGTATATGTATATGTATGTAGGTGATCAAGCGCGTAATCAGGCTTAGAGGCGTTTGCCTGGAATATGTTTTTGTCAACCAACCTATGCGCCTCCTATGGTGGTTCCGGATATGGCAAGTGGTCAAGGCTATGTGAATAAAGTTTAAGTTTTTGTTTATTCCGTATATAGGGCTAAGTCCCTTTTGTCTCATCTATATATGTGATGATGCAAAAATGATGTGATAATATATGTATATAAAAAGTATAAATATTTTCTTTCTCATGTAAGTCTATACAGCTCAATGAACAATGTATGTTTATCTTTTGCTTCCACTAGCCCCTAATATTATTTATCTGTTTCAGAGGCCTTTTGTAATCTTAGGATTACTGGCTGGTCATGATACTAAACCTATAGATGCGAGTTTGGGCCATGACTGAATGGTATCAGAGAACGAGTTGATATCTCACACACACGTCCATTGAGCATTAGAATGTCTGGCACGAATTTAAGTTACATGCATCTAGTAAGTAAGTGATAAGTTATGCATTCAAAAAATGTATATGTATTTGTTTAACAAGCTAAGTATGAGACTAAGAATTAAGAGCTGTTATTATGGAATTTTGATAATTATATGGAAAATCGGAATGTGTTTGTTAATAGGTTATGTATTGAGACTAAAAGTTTAAACGATTATGGAACTTTTATGTTATGAAAAAAATAAACAAATAAATAATATCTGAATCTTGACTAGAATATTGGTAAGTACAAGTATATTGATTTGTGGAAATATGGAATTACACTGAATTAGAATCTTTGATGGGAGCCATGAAAGTTATATGGTTTATACATAAAATCAGACTATGGAAATATTTGGGAAATTAAGATATTGGATGATTAGTGAAGTGTGTGGAACTATGGTGATTGAGACCAAGAAAATTTTGTTTTGTCAGAAGATATATTGATTTGGTAAAGGATCTAATGCATGAACCATTCATACCTTTGTTGAATGACCTTGAAAGTTTGATTGGAATCATGTTCAGTCGGCGTAGCTTCGAATTGGAAATTCTCGGTCAACTTCATGGGAATGAATAGTTTTCCCTACCCATGTCTTTGTATGATTGTATGTCTCATAGTTGATTATGTGATGCTATGTGCTATGTTCGAAGTTAGCAAATAATATCCCAAGTATTATCCACCCTTGTCTTGTGACTTTAGAAAAAGATGATGAGAAGTAAGAATGATGTGGAAATTGCATCATTGTTGGAGCAATTAGATAAAGTAGAAGAAGTGTTAGACAATATGACAACCTAAGCATACATGTGATGAGAAACGACAAGATTAAAAGAAAAAGGCTAAATGTGGGATCAACAAAAAAATTAAAGAACGTGTTTGGAAATCTGTGGAAAGAAAGATCAATAAGAATATGATTAGTAAATGCAAGAAGTATTGAGTTGGAATTGGTATTCTTATATTGGTTTGATTGATTATTAGGGAATTTTAGAATTCATTTGTATGGACACTTAAAGCTCCATCTGAGATTGCTAAGATAATTAGGATGAAGAACAATTCGATGTACCAAGATCACTATTTTGAGTACCTAAACTATTTGTGAGAAAAATGTTTGTATATTAACTGACTTAGGACCCGTTCGTTCGTTTTGAATTAATTGATATAAGATAAATAGATCATTGGGATTTATTTCAAGAATGTTATATGAGGAATATGACTCAATACTTTTGTTATAAATTATTAGGATGTAATGATAAATGAGTTGTCTTTGACTTTCGAAGATAAATGACTATTCTTGTCATGCCCCAAACCCGCCCCTAAAAGTTTGGGCATGACCGCTTCAGAAACGGATATTTAACTTGAAATATATATGAGATATGGGGCCTGAATGGAAGCATTTAATATTTTAAAATAACAGAAAACCATCTCCATTGAGCTATAATTACTATGCCAGGATCACCAACAGAACATAAGGCAGATAGACATGCAGTGACGTGCATCTAAGAATTTAGCTATATGCATATACACATGCATATACAGACCCAGCCCTCAAGATTGGGCGTATAACCAAAAACATTGAAAGGTAAAAGGATTATATACACTTCCTTTTTAGACAGACCATCGGGGTACAAAATCAAAAGCTTAGCAAAACTCCATAAAATGAGTTGTCTTCATTTAAGTGCCTGGACACCCTGAGGTTGTCATAAGAGGGACGCGTGCCATGGGTTGAGACTGACCTCCAGGTGGAGAGCCTACAGAAATAGACATAACATAAAGTGAGTCAAGCTCAGTGAATAGTAATACGTAACAATTTAACAATTAACTTGAATTACAATGTGCATGTATAAGTGTAGAGGACATATAGTTAGCTTTATCCTGTAACTATTTTCAGAATGGCTTTAAGCTCTTGAACAGAGTGGCATTAAGCCCTTAAACAGAATGGCAATCAGCCCTAAAACAGAACGACATTAAGCCCTTAAACAGAACGACATTAAGCCCTTATCATGCATGTATGAACTCAAGAGGTGGCTCGCATAGCAGCACTTAGTTCCGTGCATCACTTTGTTTCATACTAACAGATCATACAGAATGGCCATAGGCCTCACAGATGTCATAGAACGGCCATAGGCCTCACAGATGGCTTTAAGCCCAGTTCAGATATGTATGGACTCAAGAGATGGCTCACACGGATTCTAGAGGTGGCTCGCATTGCAGCACTTAGCTCCATACAGCACTTTGTTTTGTACAACACTTTGTTCCATACCAGAAATCATTAGGTCTTAAAGACCGAACCTTTCATATCATGTCATAGCATAGCATAACCGGAACAGATAAACAGAAACAAATTCATACATATTCTTAATTATGCTTAAATCATAAACAGAAATCAAAGTTCATACTTGATTATACATGGTACATCCAATAGCGCTAACAAATCAATAGAGAGCATACTTATTAGTTCCATAACGGAACCTCCGGTACCGGGAAATTGTAACATACTTGAACCACGGTATTATTACCCCCGGGTAAGGGCCTTGTGCTAGGGATGCCATGAATACTTTTATATATATGGGCAATCACTCATTAATTCAAAACGTAACATATCAAAAAATAGAGCATTTCTTGTCATATCGTGTCATTACAGTACGCTTAACAAAGACAGAACAATTCACATTCTAACGTGGGTTGCATAATGATGTTAAACCTTTGCATTCATGTCATACATTCTAAACAATCTCGGGTCCATACGTAACACAACAGAATAATCTTGGATTCACACAGATACCATTGTTCAAGGATGAACATAAGTTCCATTTATTCTTAGGAAGTAACGTAGTATGCTGATTAATAACATAGGGTTAATATTCGTTATTGACAGAACAAAAGGATTCCAAAGTCATACCGACATACGCAAATCTTTCAGCGTTCATATAAGTTCACATTGATTTCCAATCATCATAAATGTTCGTGTAACGCTTACGAAGAACAGAGCGTTAGTGACAATAATTATCAACAGTAAATAAAATTTACATTTCCGTACTACTACTCACAGTGGTGTGACGAAGTACTAGTTCCTCCCGGAGTGTGTCCTACACACATTCATCACTTGCAAATTAGTTCATTTCTCTTTGTTGAATTATTTCTTGATGCATTCCACTTCAAATGAATTTTACAAACATCAGTAGGCATAAAATACAAATTCTAAAAATATTTGAGGGTCAAGCATGCAAAATAGAGCAACCCGTATTTTTCAACATGGGCCGCACGTGCGGCTGTGAGCCCCGCACGTGCGGTAGTGAAGCCCGCACGTGCCTTTTAGATAGTAGCCAAACCCTCAATTTTTGCCATTTCCCGCACGTGCGGCGATTCTGCCCAGCAACATCCGAAAATTCAAGCAAAACCCCAACTTTTGGTGAACATTAACAAGGCTCAAAATAGCTTTCTTAATTGATAGAACATGGCCTAAAAATCATGTTACTAGGATCTTCAAATACACACATCCATCTAGATATAAACTAAATCTTTAATTCTTAAACATAACTTAGTTTTCTTTTGCATTCAACATCACATATATAAACTAGGTAAGCTCTTCATGATCTTCATGAGAAAGTAAGAAATAGAAGATAGTTTCTTCATATATGCATAACCAACTTAGTTCTAAAGCATCCAATTGATAAAACATGATCCAAGTCTAGCAATAATCACACCCTAGGTTCAATTCCAAGTCCTAGGTTACACAATTGTGATAGAACCACACTCAAATTCAAGAGAGGAGTTATAGAAGATAAATAAACTTACTTGTGATCTTAAACCTCCCAAATTCCCTCTAAATTATCCAATTTTTTATCTTGATGAAGCTCTCTCCTAGTTCCTTCCTCTCTATTCTCACTATCCTCTCTCAGGAGATGTTTTGAGCTAGGAATTCTTAAGTCAAATGGTTAAGAACACATATATATCTAGAAGAAATGAATAGGACAAAAATCAATCATTTTAATCATCCTAAATTGAAATTTCACAGAAATGCTTATTATTACTTAGAAATTATGCCGATTTCAAATATAAAATCAATTTCGGATTATCAAGCCTCTAAGGTCCTCAATTTCTGATTAAAACGTTCTAATCGTGACAGATACTTTTCTTGTTAAACGGATATATATCCATAATCATAAGATTCATTTCATTAAACTTACTTTCGCATAAAATTTTACAATAAGTATTTAGATGCACAGAATAAGGGACCGAAAGTGTATCAGGAAACATGTACGAGGGTCGGGTTATTACAATTCTTGTGGAACTAATGGAATAAATTACCGTCTTATTTGAATTGTCAATTAAGGCTTATGCATTGTGTAAGAACGAATATCCAGATTATTATTGCAAGAGATTTAGTAGACCGAGAACTTGAATTTGTGATTGAGGTTGTATCAGGTACTTAACCTACTTTGAGGCCTTCATGTGAATGTCAATAATAGATATGATTCATTTGAAACGAGGAGATATAATCATGAATAACCTTGAGGTTGAGCCTCGACTATTTGGAGACATATGGATAATGTGGAAATATAAGGATTACTTAGAGATATGGGAATAGCTAAACAAGCATATGAGTTACGTCAATAGTACTTTTGTAAAGATATGTTCTTAAAGTGTTTTGGTTACTGCAAGTTCATTATTTTGAAATGTTATTTTGTTACAATGAATGATTGTCTCTTTCAAAATGTAATTGTGGCATCCTTAATGCAGGCCTCGCCTTGCTCGGGGGAACAATATTGTGGCCCATCGTACAGAGATCTCTGATGTAGACCTAAGGGGTCTCCATGTT